CGGGGTTTGGGCAGTTCTGTGTACTGAAGGACGCGGAGCAAGGCATTTGGTGGGGTTGTCCACAGGGGCACAGGCACTTGAAAATAACGCATGTCCTTCAAGCATTGTACTCGAAGTGTCTGGGAGTGATGTGGAGGCCTTGTGGGGTTGAAGGTTCAGGGAACCTTAATCCAGTGTCTTAAAAGCCCATCTCTAGCCCCGAAACATGATGGCCCCTGCTCTATCCTCCCTCATAGTAGGACGCGCCTCACAGATCCTAAGCCCTGAACTCTCTAAAATGGACAGGAGTCTGTACTTTCGAGCTACAGCGATGCCCCTGATGCTCTGAGTGAGCAGTGGCTCGAGAAGTACAGCAGCTGGACAGCAAGATGAAGCCACTCTTGCGCACAGCCCTGAGGACTGAACTGGGGATTGTATGGGGATGTGCAGGATGCCTATGATTTGGGTACTGCCCCCAAACTGTAACAGTTGGATAATATCTACTACTACAAGTATATATATATATATGACCCCTAATATAGACTCGGGCTGGGGGCAGTACCCAACCTATCATCACGGTTTTCTAAACATTGGGATTCTCTGCCGGGTCGGTTTTGCTCAGATGCTGGGATGCCTGCTGCTCCACGGAGAGCCCCATATAGCTTGATTAAGGAATATGCCCTAAATAACATTAGAACCCTTCATCTGGTGTAAGGTATAGTCTTTAATTAAGCTATATTAGGCTGCCTGGGTCCAAATCTTTGAAACCACATGTATGGGTGCGGACGCCCTCTGAGATAGACCCTGAATCTGCAGCTTCCCTGGCACATGATACGGCCGTTTTCATAGTCCTACGTGCCCCTTTATATGCCCCGAATTACAATAAACTTTTTCTCAGGACTCCCCAAGAAGGCGACCCCTGATTTATGGCAAAGTGCAGTTCTAGAAGCCCAAGCTTCACTGGTGCTGGAAGGGGAGTGGGGAAGTGAATGCAGAGTATCATAAGGCCTAAACATAGGATTTTCATGCAGATACCACTGAAGCCTAAACTCCAAAGCCTAAACCCTAAGCCCTGAACCCTAAGCTCTAAACCCTAAACGCTCAAACCCTAAACCCTAAGCCCTAAACCCTAAACCTAAAGAAGCGGCGGTCCACAAGGCAAAGTTTGCGGTTTGGAGCTGGATCCTTGCGTGGGCAGCCTCGTGCTGGCCCTGAACATGCTGCCTGGCGTCCGGACTGGGTTGGGTGAGTTAAGGGTTTGGGGTTTAGGGTTTAAAGTCTAGTGGGGCAGGGGGAAGCGGAGGGAAGGAGGTTAAGTATCTTTGCCTGCGCCCCAAGTAGGGAAACTCAAGTCAAAAAAACAGGGAATAAGATTCTATGATTATGGATGCTTATAGATACTGATATTTGCTAGCATAAGCCCTACACCTTTGTTTTGGTGTATGGCATGCCAGGGGGGCCGGCGCAGTAACAGTCACCCATTAATTTGTAGGTTTGGCATTAGATGTCTCTTGGGGCTTGCCGTAGTTTGTAGACTGTGACGTGGGGTCTTACAACTTGCCAAGACATAGGGGGTTTGTTTTGTAGAAGCACCACTTAGGAGCAAAGGCCTGCTACAATTCTATATCCCGAGCCCTAAGCCCTGGAACCTAAACCCTTCAACGACCTGCAACCCCAAAAACCTAAGTTCCAAACCTTTGGCTCGAGGCTCCTAGGATAAGCATTTCGCCACCTCTGAAGGTGGTTTAGGCTTTGGGTTTAGGGTTTAGGGTTTAGGATTATCCGACCCGCCATTTTCAGAGAGGCCAACACCAAAAACCGTAGGCCGCCTGTGTACTTGGAGGGTCAAGGGGACTTAGTAAGTAGGTCAAGAACCCCTATAATCATTTGAGCTATAGTCAAAACTCCTAGTATCCCCCTTAATAACCCCAACAATAATACCCTATATAATCCCCTTTAAAACACCCTTTCAGGAAATTAGATTATGGCTCAAATGGTAACCCCAGTTCTCCCCAGTAGTAATCCACCTACTAAGTCCTCCTGACTCTCCTAAACCCTAAACCCTAAACCAGGACACTCTCTTCCTGCAACTCTGTCCACGAGGGTGCCCACGAAGAGGAAGCTTTGGTTGCCTTCACTGCGGAGGACTTCGACTTACTGGTTTTTAGCAGCGAATAAGGGAGTATAATCCCTGTATAAGCCCCCATGTAACATACTCCCATATTCTCTACTAACCTCCAGAGTGTCTAGAATCAAAGGCTTCTTGCTTTGGAGTTTTCAGGTATGAGCATTGATTTTCAGGTTTTGGGTTTGCAGCGCGCTGTAAAACATGTGGTACTTTTCAATAGCTTGATTGTATTGGAAGACGTTATTTTGGCGTGATGCGGCGTTGCTACAGGAGATTGAAGTTTAGCTATTTGTGTGAGTATATTGGGGCTAAGATTGGGGCCAACTGTTCATATAGACTTTCTCAAAGCCATTTGGGGTTGTATTGGTTGTAGTGAGCATAGCAGGGTCGTCGTGATTTTGTTGGCATACAGAGGGGACCCTTAATTTCGCGAAATGTAGCGAGAGGATTCTGGTCATCCCAACCCCCTAATGGGTGGTTGTCAAAATTGTGGTCCCGTTTTGGATCCCTATTACAATACATCACCTAATATGTAGGGTACCCAACAAGGGACCATAATTTTGACAACCACCCAAATGAGGACCCCATAGCTATCATAGGATCCTAGTCTGGGGGGTTAGGATTACACTAAACCCTAAACCCTCAACCCTTATAGTAATAGTATAATCCTTATGTCACCTCCTGGAACACCCTAAACCCTAAACCCCTACAATCCCTACGCAGTGCCTTCAAAAATGTGCGTAGCCAAACTTCGCAAGCTCACGAGCTTCTGACACATCAGGCCCAAAAGGGTTGAGGGTTTAGGGTTTAGGTTTCAGAGTTTTGAATCGCCGCCCTTTCCTACAAGCCCCAAGCCCAAAGCTGCAAACCCTCAAACCCTCGTCCTCACGCGCAGATGGAAACGAACCTGCCAAAAAACCTTAGCCTAGAACCGCCTTGAACCTAACAGCCCTACATCCGAGGCCCTGAGCACTTTGCCCGAAACCAGCATCCCTACTATGTTCCGGGGTCCACATGCTCAGAATCCTCGCCCATATCAGCAAACCTTGTAGTCGAGTCCAGTCCCGGACCCTAGACCCTGAGCCCTTATCCCTAAAACCCCTAAACCCCTAAACCCTTAAACCCTAAACCCCTCAACCCTTATCAGCAAGCCTTATAGTGAAGTCCAGGAGCCAGTTGCGCAGCAAGTTGCCGAAGCGGTGGGCGAAGGTCACTTCCGTGAATCCCAGGAGTCGGTCGGTTTAGGGTGTAGGGCTGGGGGTTCAGGGCCTAGAATTTAGGGTTTAGAGCGTCGGGTTTGGGGCTTGGGGTTTAGGGCTTAAGGCGCGAATAAAGGGCAGTAGTCTACAGGGGTACCTGTGTTCGTGTTCCGGGTAAGTTTGGGGGCTGGTAAACCCCAGGGCCCTAGACCCTAAATCCCGAAACCCTTGAACCACAAGCCCTCCTGTGCAGGAGGGTTTGGTCCAGCCACGGAGCGCAGGCGAGAAGGCAATTCCCTTCAGGAGCTACATTGTACCTTGGAAGCTTGACACGTAGTGTTCGTATTTCTTGGTACGATGCGTCATAGTTTCAAAGCTCCTTAAAGGGTTTATATAGGGGATTAGTAGTCTAGGGCTTATTACGTGTGGTACTGGGAGTCTTAGATTATAGCTCATATTCGTAATTTCTGTTTTTCTTGCTCTTACAAAGGCTTTGGACTATAGGGCTTATTGTTGGGGATCCCAGGTTTAAGCCTCAATTCTTTCGTTAGGGTTTGTAGGAACCCACACTTCGAAATAAATAGATCTTAGGAGGAACCCCCCCACCCTTTAATAGTGGTATAATAAGAATATAAGAGGACCCTAATATGATTACCATTATCCCTTATGGTCACTATTACTGGGTGGGGGCTCCACCTAAGATAGGCTTGTGGTTTCTTAGCCTCCTATTTGAAGCCCACCCAAGCTCTTCAAGTAAAGAATACTCCTTAAACAGTCCTAAGTTTCCGGATTCAGTGCAAGGTACATTCTAGAAAATCTTTTCGGGCGTCTGGACACATACTATTCCTAATGCTGTTCCTGTATCATGATATCAATCAAGTAGGTCTTACTACTGTATTAATACAATACTATACAGTGGCTATATTACTTTCAGGCGGCTTCTATAACTAGTCGACCACAATGTAGAACCCTAAACGTTATAATCCTTGTTCAAGCAACCCCCGCAAGGAGAACCCGAAATTTTGGAATTCCCACGCCCCAAGCCCTAAACGCAGTTTAGGGTTTAGGGTTGAGGGTACAATCACTTCGCCGGTGCCGTACATGTTTGTTATTGTTATATGATTACAACACTTGACTACTGCTGCTGCTGCTGCTGCTGAATAAACGGTAGATTCCCAAAATAGGGGGACTATAGACCCAAAATAGTATAATCCTTATTATAGGGAGCCCTAAAAGGGTACCCCTAATTTTGGGAAACTCCCAAATACATTAAGGTGTACTCAACGGCCAGCACGGCCCATCGCCCGGATGTTCCGCAGAGGCTCTCGAGATCAGGGCATAAGCAGTTAGCAACCTTAAACCCTAAGCCCTTAACCCTAAACTCCAGTACCTTAAACCCTTAGCCCTACATCCCAAACCCTAAATCCTTATATCATATATCCCCTTTAAAGCGACTCGGCTCCCTGCATTAGGCTCAGGGACATGATGACCGCGGCACAAGCAGTCCATGCTCTCGCTGGCAAGTTGCGGGTTCTGGGCCACAAGGTGGGAGCTTCGCACTGAAGCGTTCAGGGTTTCGGGTTTAGGGCTTCAAGGTTTTTGCTGACAATCCTACATGGGAACCTTCCTAAGCCTGTGGTACTCCCTAAATCCCCCAAGGGCCCTGGGGTCACCACATTTTGACAAGACTCCAGGTGAGTGTTTCTGAGACAGGGGTCGAGAAGACAGAAGCAAGCCTGGCAAATCCGTGCATCAGGCTGGCAGAATGCCTTCCTCTGCAGCTCTGCATTGAGCAGTTAAGGCTGGAGGATTTGAAGAAACAGTGGCGGCAGCAACGGTGTATTCGGCTCAGCCCGTTCGATCTCACGGAGCTGCGTGGGCTTCGAGACGAGCTTGTGGCTGACTTGCGAGGACTGCAGCCTATTGAGACCTCGCACACGCAAGCACTCGTCCTCCCGCTAGAGGATGGACGTAGCGAGGGTGCTTCCGCAGTGGATCGGCTGGAAGTGACTTTCAGAGCAGAGCAATTTAAAAGTTTGGTTCAAAAGATCACTGGTTGCAAGCCTTTGACCAGGCAACGGTGTGCCCTGGTGGCAGTACCTCCTGGGGGGCATGTGCTACCACAATGTTTTGCTGGCGAGCATGACTGTGGTGAAGTGGCATTTGCCTTGTTTCTGACAGAGGACTGGTGGAGCGAAAAGGATGGTGGGCAGTTCGAGGTGTATCCAGAGGAGGGCAAACCTGGAAAAGTTTATTGTCCAGAGCCAGGTCTTCTTCTTTATGCTGCTGGGGCAGGTGCTGGGATCACACGGGTTCTCACTGAAGATGCTCCGCAGCTGGCGGTCCACGGAATCTTTGGGTCCAAGGAACGTCAAGAAGAGGCTGAGATTGTTAAGGCGCAAGAGGCTCCGTTTAGGATCTGTTCGGCTGAAGCGCGCGGCAAGGGCCACCGGGCCTTGGACAACTGGGTCTCCGAGAAGTTTCTGGGAGCTGACGCTGAGGGTGATTTGCGGGCACAGTTTGAGGAGGCGAGCCACATGAAACTACAAGGGTTCCTCAACCAGCCTTTCGCCCAGCGAATCGCGGCTGCGATTGACACGGCCTCCGCTGCTGCAACGCTGAAAGGCTGGCAGGAGAGCGGCCCCATTCAAGTTCAACGCTTTCTGGCTTGGAACCAGCAGCATGATGACGGCGCCCAGACGTGTCCTGTAGGCAAAGCTTTGGAGGACGTGGCCAACTGCATGGCCTCAAGTGGCTTCTTGCGTTATCTGGAAGCCATCACAGGCGTGACTCAAGCATCTGCGGCGACTCTGCGGGTCCGTCGCTTCCGGCCCGGACTCGACTTTCAGCGGCCAGCAAACTCTGCCCAGTGTCAGCTGGACGTCATCCTTTGCTTCGAGGCTGCCACCCCTTCGCTGCGTCGTCCCAAGCGTCGCTTCCGTGCACAGCTCCAGGCCCTGGGTGGGGCCGATGGCTACGTCGAAGGTACCGAAGCCTATAAGCGGACAGCGGAAGCTGCGGGAATCCTGGCTGGACCAGCTGGCATTCCAGCTCCACTGCCTGCTTTGCTTCGGCTGCCTCTGCGGAACAATGTCCTGCGGCTGGTGCTCAGGGATCCTAGGACGTCGCACTATGTGGAGCCCCTGCAGTTTGCTGCGCCGACAAGCCGATGGGACATCTGCCTCACGCTGCCTGTGGAAGAGCTTCCTGACAGCGGAGAGGAAGAAGAAGAGGCAAACGGTTCAAAGCTTGGAGGGCCTCCGAAAAGAATAAGCATTATCCCATGGGATTGCTTTTGACCTTGGACAAGTTCCTCAACCGCTTTAATGACCACTGTTCCCTTAACCCGCTACATCCCTATAGCCACTGCAAGGGGGACATAGATATCATTTTGAATGATGTAGACCCCCACAGTTTGATTTCTCCCGAAGAAAGACACCCGCAGAAGAGGCGCAAGAGGCCGCGCGCCCGAGGAAGCGAGCCAAGGAGCAGCCAAGTGAGGCAAGAACTGCTCCCAAGCGGCGCCGCAAGAAGAAGAACGTCTCCATCAAAAAGAGTTTCAGGTTAGGGTTGATGAGGATTTGGGGAGTGTAAGCTTTGGGATTTAAGGTTTCTGGTGTAGATTTAGGGTTCAGGGCCGGAAAAGGGAGGCATGCAAAAGGAGCTAGAGACTTTTTAGAGCGAGCTTCTAGGAATATTCAGGGCTCAACCCTGGGGACTCCTGTTTGGGGAAACTTTTCAGAAAGGCCAGCCTCTCTCGAGAGGGCTTAGTGTTCAAGGTCACCTTGAACAGAGAAGGGCCAAGCATCTGGAGGCAAGGGTCAAGAATTGAATATGGGATCACGTCTGGAGAGAGTGTGAACATGTGCGTTTGCCTTCCTGGGAATCTGCTAGCCTCAAGGGCCAAGGGAAATAGAGGGCGCAGCAGCCTTTCGTGCCACGCAGTGCCACAGGGACGTTGATCTAGGTTTATGAAACTCTGCCTCAAGTAGATCGAACATGGAACTGCCCAACATCATAATAACATCCCCATATACCACATATTCTATCTACTTCATCGGGACTATAGGTTTGAGACGGCATGTTGAGCTCTGAGCCTGGTTCTGATCCAGGGTCAAATTTGCCCAGTGCCCCATGAGCTGCAGTTCTTGCCTCAAGCTTCTGGAAGCTGCTGGAAAGGGTTTAGGGTTTAGCTCATGTCTTATTCAAAACAGCCTATTTGTAGCAGACCTTCCGAAGCATAAAGCAGCAAGGGTTATAGCCCACCATCCCCGTATAGACACTAAGGGAGATGTCGCAAGTGATCTGCACTGTGGGAGCTTCCGAGAATTGACCCCGATGGTCTCCCCATGTCTATACATCCTGAAATTACCAAGAGTACCCTCTCGTGGTTCTAGTATGACACGGCCCTACTATTTAGGGTACCCATAAAGATACCATAGCTTGGCAACCCCCCCCCATTCATTCCGTCGTAGGGCTGACAGTGCAGACCATGTCGCGCCTTTGCAGTCTGCCATGTGGAGTCGGAGTTCGAGGACTAAACCCCTAAACCCCTAAACCCCCAACCCCTAAACGCTATCTTGCGGTGAGGTGTAGGGTTTAGGGTTTAGAGATTCGGGTTGCCGTTTGGGGACTTGGTTTTGCGGGATTAGCTTTTTTTTTCGCCCTCCGACCTTCTCTATTTCCGCGCACCCTTCGTACGGATGAGGATGACTCTAGGGATTTTGGGTTCAGGAGTTGGGTTTAGTTCAGGGGTTTAGGGTTTAGGGCGCCTCTACCTATCTCCAAGGACCCAGGAAGATCACATGTGTGCCGCTACACCCGTGTTCGCAGGCGAGTGTTAAAGACTTCAAAGCCCCGGAGTGGAAAACCCTTAACCGACAGACCTGGGGATGTCCTTTAATTCGTTATACTACTATTATGGCCCCCATTATGACAATGTTTCTCTTTTGGTACTGGTTCATGTAAGGAGGAGGAGCCTATGATGTATGGGGATCTCCCTGGTTTTATTGCAATACGGGTCCGGGTAGGGTGGGGTTCCATCACAATACGGGTCGCTATACAAACTGCTTTGATTTAGACCAATGGCTAGTTGTGAGGAGGAGATGTCATGGATTGGGTGGAGATCCCTAAGCACTATAAAAACCCTAAGCCCTAAACCCGGGTTTAGGGTTGGGAAACACATGGCCAACCTTAAAGCTTTTGAATTTTTGGGGAGTCATTCGAGGAGGCTTCATCCTCTATGTGGGGGGATAAGCCATTTTCGGGACACTTGCGTTGGGACACAGCTTTGTCACAGTCATAATATGAGTATGATGGGAGCCAACTGCTGATCATCATCGTGACCGCGGCAATTCTGGGTAGGTTGTCGTCTTACTCCAAACCCACTAAACCCTAAATCCTAAACCCTAAAGCCTAAATCCTACACCCTAAAGCCTAAGTCCTAAACCCTAAAGCCTATATCCTAAACCCTAAAGCCTAAAGCCTAAACCCTAAAGCCTAAAGCCTAAACCCTAAAGCCTAAATCCTAAACCCTAAAGCCTACACCCTAAACCCTAAAGCCTAAATCCTAAACCCTAAAGCCTAAATCCTAAACCTTAAAGCCTAAATCCTAAACCCTAAAGCCTAAATTCTAAACCTTAAATTCTAAAGCCTACACCCTAAACCCTAAAATCTCGCCTCTCTCTGCCCTCCCGGAGTTGAGCTGACACGGCCTCAAAGGCCGCATCCAACCAAGGGAGACATGGAATTCATTTGGGTGTTATATAGGCCCCTAAACCCTAAACCCTAAACCCTAATAAGGTTTAGGGTTTAGGGTCTAGGGTTTAGGGTTTAGGGCTTAGGGTTAGGGTTAGGGGTTATATTGGGATAATGGAAAAGAAAATGGAAACTACCTGTGTAGTATATGGGTGGTTGTCAAAATTATGGTACCCATTAGGGTAATATTAGGGTTTATATTGGGGTTATATTGGAGGATAACGGAAAAGAACATGGAAACTACTATAATGGGTTATATAGGGATTTTAGGGTATATGGGTGGTTGTCAAAATTATGGTCCCTTTTTGGATCCCCATTATAATACGGCACCTACTATTTAGGGTACCCAAAAAGGGATCATAATTTTGACAATCACCCATTTGATGAGTGTGTTGATGGTTATACTGGAGTCCACCATGTAGAGTAAGATAATATTTTCTCCATCTTGGTTGTAGTATTTTGGCAGAGGAATGTAAACATGCTAGGCTCAACCACCTTCAAGACCGCTGCTAATTTCAACTCCGCTCTGGTGCTCTTGAGAAGCCTGTCATGTGGCATGCGCGTCAAGTTCAGACCCTGGTCGATCCGCCCAACAGTCCCAACGGGTGCTTGGTTTCCTTGCGATACTACCTTGCGTGCACATGGGCCCCCGAGTGACATATGAGCTGGAGTCTAAACTCTCATGGGTTCAAGTAGTACCCCCCCTCTATACTACCCCCCCCTAGGGTCCCCCCTTAATTAAGGTTATTTAGGGATATTTAAGTTTAATTAAGGTTAATTAAGGGGGGAACCTAGGGGGGGTAGTATAGAGGGGGGGTGCTACTTGAACCCATGAGGTTTAGGGTTTAGCAAAAAGGGATTCGGGTTTAGGGTTTAAGGGTTTAAGGGTTCAGGTTTTGGGGTTTAGGATTTAGGGTTTGGGGGTCTTGGGGTGTAGGGATTAGGGTTTGGGGTTTTGGGCACTTGCCAATGTAGGGGGCCCTGACCATTTGTGCATGTAGGGTCAGGGTCTGCTGGCACCGGAACAAAGTCAGTGAGTCAGTTTGCTAATGTGGAGGCCCCAGTTGTTTTACTAATTTGTCCCCACATAAACTCACATGCAGAAGATTGTTTTATTCAGGATTTTGTGAGTGTATATAGGGTTTCTTCGAATATTGGTGAGGTATACTTTGGGTGTCCGATTTGGGGAGCCATGGAAGTAAATTCTGCCATATATGATTCTTGTAGCCCAAATAGGCCCCCACATTAGATAGTTGAGGGTGCTCTGTGCTTGCCCAGGTAGCTGAATGCAACCAATGCCGCAAAGCAATGCCATGCCAGCAGCAATTGATGTGGGGCTTCCACACAGTTTAAGAGATCCTATTATAGAAACTATGGTATTTGGGGTTGTAAATACGAGGGACGCCCGCCCAATTTTGGAAACCACCATGTGGCAGTTTCCATAAATAGGGGTTGGCAAATACTCAAACAATCAAAAAGGTATCCCTAATTTTGGGAAACCCTAAACCATATATATATATACATATATACATATATACATATATACATATGTGTATTCCTTCATAACCCTTACATGTCCCCCATGTATCCCCCATAATCCGGTAATGCACCAATTTTGTGAAACCCCCATGCGTTGCGGCAGGTATGCTCGGCCATCAGCGAGTTGTTGAGGCATAGTCGGACAGCTGCCCACAGAGAATAGTAGTTTGGGGTTTTGGTTTCATACAGGTTCCAGGCTTTAGGGTTCAGGGTTACTTGATTGCTGAGCGGGTAATCTACAACTGTTCGGGGTGTATATATGTACATATATAATCCTACGACAATTGAATGGTGAACGGTGTTTTGGGCCAGGAAATTCAGCAGCTAGGAGTATTTCGGGTTTGGGGTTTAGAGTGAAATGCCATAGTCCTCAGCGCAGAGGATTACAGTTTCCTATAGGCTTTCATCGAGAGATATCCAAAGGGTCGTAGTTCAGCCACCACCAAACTGCACCCGAATGTCGCATTACATCTGCCTGATGGACTGAGTGTTCAAATGCATTCCACATTGCAGGGCATACCATGACCCTTCTGCCGAGATCCCTTTGTTCGTGATGGCCTCAGTTGACATGGACTCACCTCCACCTAATATGAAGCACCCCCGGACCACTAATATTTAGTATTTCAGCCATTATTTGGTCTTGTGGAGGAGGGGTGGGGTCTTCATTATCAGGGGCAAGGGACCAAAACCTTAAACCCCAAACCTTAGGCACTCAACCCTCAACCGCTGCCTAGGAGCGCATGCAGCGCCGTGAAGCAGAAGAAGCAAAGCAAAAGGAAGAGGCAGTCATCACGGAATAGCCTGTACCATTTCCAGAATAATTCTTATAGTAGTCCTTGCTACACATTCTCCCATGCCCAGGTAGTCCTGAGTATGCACACGTGCAAACACAGATGTCGGCAGATGCTTCTGCGTTTTTCCGGGATTGAGAATCTGCTTCCAAGAGTGACGGATGCAGCCTATGCTTGTCGATGCAGGGAGAGCACGCTGAAGGTCTCCCAAACACCTTGGAGTATTTCAAAATTTCCTGTACACAATCCTGACAGAGACCCCCGCCGCCTTGTCATCCAAAATAATTCTGCTCCACATGAACCCCCAACCTCCCCAATATTGAAAACATTCACCCGAATATATAGCGGTTTCTGTTTGAGATACCCTAAGCCCTAGACCCTAAACCCTTTCTGCCAGGCCGCTCGTCAGGATCGTGAGGAAGCGCAGAAGAAGGCCATGGAGGATTGGGAGAA